AGTAAGCTGGTTTCATTGATCATTGAGTCACTCTGACTGTATCCAGAGGCCCATCCATGCATACTGTTGAAGAGTCCCAAACAAGAACCGAATAGATTTCCAGTACTCCCTGGTTTTCAATGATACTCCAAAGTGATATCATTCGATAACCAAACTTAAAACCAATGGAATTCCTAGAAAACAACATTTGAAAATTAGTACAATACTTACTGGTGACTGACTGCAGTAGGCAGTTGCTTGGAGTAGTAGTAGTGTTCAGAAGTTCTGTACGAGGAGAGACACCCACTGATAATAGTGACAGGTGGTTGCGCAATGTATAGCGAATTGACAGAATTTGGAATTGACGAGCCAGTGACTGAATGGTCAAAAAACTCACCACGCAACCTAACAGTCCAGGGTTCTATCCTTGTGGTATGGTTACTGATTGGTACCGATGAAGAGTCCCAAAGTGGGACGGAACAGTTGTCCAGTAGTCCGTATTATCATTATCGTTATTCCCTTGGGTTCCGAGTAGAACATACAGCTTCAACAATATACACCTCCACTTTCTTCTGTTTTCTGTTTTCCTCTTCATCTGCGTCTATGATAGACAATAGTCTCTCATCTCCTCCTCGTCTCACGATCTCCTCCATATCACCATCGCACTGACGACCCACTGGTCGCTTCCCATTCGGATTCCATTCAAGTGATGGCCTGCATGGCGTTCGATATCATTCGACGACCTCCTCAGCGTACGCCCACTCCATCAACCTCCATTTTTGCTTACATATCGGTCGAGCGATCGGTTCTTGGTTTATTTGTTTCCAATCAGAGTGTACCGTTGCTAATTCTTTCTGGCCGGCCAAGTGGCCACTTGATCTTCAGTGTGGAGCCAGCAAGCCAGAGAAGTGGGCAGCTGTTGATAAAAGTCTACAGAAGGCCGCTGGAAATCTTGTCCTTGATAGGCCGGCCAAGTTTATGTCCAGAATGGAAGAAGACTGACTGACTGACTTCACTGATATTTGTGTTGAAAATCTGAATCCATCTTCTTCTTTATACTGGCTGGTTGAGAGGAGCAGAATATTTCCAAACTGGTTTCAAGTTGGTGAAGGCGTATCTCGCCAGCTTTCACATCTTCATCCATTCTACGCGTCCGTGGTTGACAAGCGAAGTAAGGAAGTAACCTGTGTCAAATCTCTCCCGTTGATGGCACTTGGTGCTGATTACTGTTGCTTCTGTTGGTTGTTTGGTTATCTTCATTACCTAGGGTTCTGTCTTCGCTGTCAGTCTCTTCAGCCAGTTTGTCGTTTTTCACCCCAGCAAGTTCTTCAGTTTGCGTGACATCAAAAGATAAATCATCCATACGCGAAATCCAGATCTTCTCGATACAGTCTTCTCACTGGCCGAACGTATTCCAGTCTTCTCACTCCCTGTTCATTGTCTGACGCATAATCCAATCCACCACAATTGAGAATATCATTGATGATTTTAGGTAGCCTTGTTTTAATCCTGTACTCACTTCACTAGTAGACCTTGATGGCTCTGAATGGTTTTTTAACTGATATAAGTTCTGTGATGGAACTTTATTGATTATTAATAGCCTACCATGAATTTTTTTCATTCCTTTGCCTTCCGAGTGGAACAAAGGGCTTAAAGTGTTTTTTCTTCTGAAATTTCAGCAGCTACCGAGGGGGGATTGATTGCTAGCCTCACAGCCAGTTTTCCTAGGCTTACTACTGACTTCCGATTTAGTAAATGTTTAGGTGTGCGCCGAATCAGGATGGAACCTGGACCCCATACATGATTGGCAAACATTCTGCCAATCGACACTGCCACGTACATAACTATTAGTAGCATGGCGTTTTCTACTGACATTATTTGTAAGTAGTAAACAGGTATGGATGTAAATATGTTTGTCAGCTGAAAGAATATAAAATACGGAGGAGAGATGGATTTTAATGAACGATGTTTGTGAGACAATATGGAAAAAACATTTGAAAGAAGATGAAGGAGCGTAATACTGAAGACAAAGCAGCATAGTACCGAAGATATGTGCACGGAGCTGCTGATAACTAATTCCATGTACGAATTATGTTGTCTTCTGCGTTTCCACTAATGGCAATATCACCCTTATTATTGCTACGTCAAACACAGATGACTAATCTGTCTAGATCCTTAGTTTGTCAAGCAGGGTTCAGAGGAAGGGAGAGGGAGTCAAAAGTCAACTAGAAAATCACTGAAAACTAAACATCACTGGACAACTGTTTCGTCCTAGTTGGGTGGTTCTTAGTCTGTGTGTGTGTGTATATTCAAGGCCTCATATGTGCAGTGAAGATAATTTTCTTCGTACTTTGAAATCAACTTTGCAGATTCATTGAAAACTGTGCAATAATACCGCACAGGCAAGGAGGAATATCACTGATAAAGATAACAAGGGATGAGACGAATGAAATGACTAACAAGGTACTTCCAATTCAACAGCCGAATATATGAACAAGTTGAAGGAACACCCATGCGGTCGCCAATATCAGGTTTAATTGCAAAAGCAGTGATGCAAAGGCTCGAAAACATAATCCTACCAAAGATCAAACCCAAGATTTGGATACGTTACGTAGATGACACATTTGTAATAATCAAGAGAAACGAATTGGATGAAACTCACAACTTAATAAACAACGTCTTCAGCTACATCAAATTCGAAGGAAAATAGGAATCCGAGAACAAAATCCCACTACTGAACGTTTTAGTCAAGCGAACAACCACAGGAGAATTAGAAACTCAAGTTTATAGAAAATCAACTCACACGGACAGAACAAATACTGAATTACAACAGAAACAATCCAACAACACACAAAAGGAATTGCATACAAACACTATTCAAGAGGGCAAGGACTCATTGAAACACTCATACCTTAAAGAAAATTGAGTAAAGATATCTCATGGACGTCTTCCAAAAGAATGGATATCCACGGAATTTCATCAAAAGACATATACCCTAAGCCAACCTATCAAACCAAAAGCCCCCAAGGAAAGCACAAAGAAAATCGCCTTACCATGTATAAACGACATCTCAGAAATCACTCCAAGACTCTTCAAATCTTTAGAAATTGACGTCTCACACAAACCAACAAAACCACTTCACTCAGTTCTATGTCAACCAAAAGTCTGAACAACGAAAGAAAATAAAACCAACATCATCTACAAAATAAGTTGCAATGACTGCGAAAAACACTACATTGGCGAAAAGGGACGTCCTCTTCGTCTTCGAATTCACGAACATAAGCTAACCGTCAAAAGAAATGACATCCACTCTCTTATATGTCACTACACACAGACAATCACGGACATCAATTCGACTGGGACAACCAACGTTCAAATATTAGACAGAGGAAACAACAATAATGCTAGAGAATTTTTAAAAGCTTGGCATTCTAGTGAATCATCAGTCAATAGATACATCGAGATAGACGAAATTTATCAACCGATAAGAAAGAAACCTCACACACACAAGGGTCAAACTTTAAGTCAAGAAACAATCAGTTCCAATACAATTATTCACCTAGAAAGTGTGAAAACACACAAAAACAATCAATCACGTTCAAGGTCACCCGCCAGGAGGGACGAATAATAAACTCGTGGAGAAATCCACAAGCTCACTTTAAGAAATTGAAGTATTCGCTGAATATGTTGCCTAGTAAGGTGATGAAAGCTTCGCAAATTAACTATGCAGCTCAGTAAACACAACAACATAAAAAAAATGACAAGTTCATTATCGAACTCCATTGTTAAGTGAGATCTAGTAAGTGAAGAATAAAGTGTCGCGTCTTGAGAAAAAAAAATCACCATAACACAGTAGTTCAGACTAAGTTTCATAGTGTCGTAGCCTTCCTCCCCCCCCCTCCAGGAATTTGCTGAAATATAAATTCTGTACTTCTGATGGATGAATCTTTTAACTTTATATATGTTCTACTGTGAAACTCTATGCAGTATCTGTGTTCCCCTAGGGTTCTCTTTGAAACTAATGCAGTTTCAATCTATTTTCAAGTTTAATTACTTATTGATATCAGTTAGAGAACCATTGAAAACCAACAAAGGGTACTACATAGCTGTTTTATCCTATTTTTGGCGCTCTTCATCAGTATGCACCCCCGATGTTTGATCCCAGGAATTTACGGATACAAGGCAAGCTCGTAGACTATTTAGCCACTCGGATCCGACGGAGTAATCCATGATTTCCAACTCCTACCAATTTTTAATTTTAGCCAGTGTTATCGACGAGTATTCATCCCCAAACCCGACTAAGCAGACCTCGCTGATCACGACTTCTCACTAGAACTCCAGTCACCTTCGTCCTGCAGTCAGTCAGACGTTGGCTTTTAGAAGCTGGAATCAGCAGGCTATTGGGAGAATGACTTGTAACCTCTAAGTCCTGTTTTTTGAGCCCTGGTGGGTGTGTACTGCCCAAAATTTCCCAGACAAGGATGAGACTATTGGACACTACAACTTCCTGGTTTTCAGGATCAATACTGAAATCAATTGAACCCCTACAAATCAACTCTAGAATATTTAGGCATTTAAAAAAAATTAAAGTTTAGGTCGTCATAGCAATCAACAAGCCAAAATATTTCTTAAGAACCAAATAGTTATTCCGTAAATAAAGATTTCTTATCTTAACTCTATCAGGTTAAAGGTGTATGCAAACCGATATTAAAATGATTTATGAGTTTAATGCTCATATTCTGTGAGACTTGACGTCGGTGTCACTTACCATATATCCTTCTAAATGACCTTGTTTGATTCATTTGGATAGTCTCTGATTGTCTATGTCACACACCTACAAATACACACACTGAAAAAGTTATTTATTAGAGTTTCTCGCATATAAATATAAAAATCAATACTCAATTAAATGTGATTGGTTGACAAAAAAGTTCATTGAATGCTTGGACCAATCAAATAGTTTCATCTAAAACTAAGCTTAATTAATTGACTTTATTCGTATTATATGCCTTTTATTTAACGCTTTTGGAATCATTCAGTCTTAAAGAAAACTCCTTTTATTGATTTTATAGGTAATATATAAATATTATAATGTTCCTATACACATGACAGCGGATCAATTGAAGGAGAAAGCTTTAGAATCATTAAATATCAATGTGGTAAGTAAAATGAGAGTCTGGTGACTTTTTAACATATAATTTAAACTTAATGCATTATAGCGTTTGTTAAGTTTATAAGCTAAGAGTGGTTGCATGTTAGGGTCTGAACTCAGGAGACCATTGTAGATGCGTTTTGCTGTATATTTTACTAGAACTTTGTTAAGTTGTTCACAGTCACAAAAATGTCCCGATGATAGTTACAAAGACGGTTATTTTTGATACATTTTGTGGTTATATTCAAACATGTCGATTTAGTTATGTTCTCTGAGCTAGTTGATTTCATTCAGGAGCTTTCGTTGTCTACCTCCTAGATAACATCTTCAGCGGAGGCGATAAAAATAAATTGGTCAAGGTTTGAAAACAAGAACATAAATCAGCTGTGAAAAGGCAAGGTAGGTATTTCTTCATACCGTCGCATGCAGATAACTACGGATACGAATTTGCCTGGGATAATGAAGAAATTCTAAATAGAGGAAACACTACACAGATGCCCATGGAATTTCTAGGAGCTGCCTAGTACTCAGATTAATCAGTGATTAACGAACACATTACTATAGATTAAATTTATCATCTAATAAAAAATAAATCACATGACTAGAAAGTTGAAATTCTAAGTTGATAAAAATGACGAATAGAAACGTAAAGTTACAACCAATCACAATAGTGGTTGTCAGGGTGATACAACCATTTCAATAATGGTGATTATTATTATTGTTTCCTTCAGTTGTTAGAGGAACAGATGCACGCGTTCGGTTCTCCATCAACGTTTTCACCTGCCTCCACGTCTGACCACTTGCTTTCATCTCCTTTTCATATGACCCCTTCCTGCATGTCACTCTCACATTGACAACCAACTCGCCGATTCCCTTTCGAGTTCCACTCGAGCAATGGCTTGTCTAGTGATGTCACTTGATGGTTTCCTCAGAGTATGGCCAATCCATCTCCATTTCTGCCTGCTTATTTGTTGCACAATCTGTCCCTGCTGGGTTGGTTTGCTCCTAGAGATGTTTGTCGCTGATCTTTTCTAGCCATCTGATCTTGAGTACTGAGCGAAGACAGTGGTTGATGAGGGTCTGCAGTTTGTTTGAGGTGCCCTTCATAACTTCCCAAGGCTCTTATCCGTGTAGTAACACTGACTGACTTCACATTGGAGTTGAAAATCCGGATCTTATTTTCATTTTCATACTGAGTGCTGTTGATCTCCACACACATTTGAGAGTAATGAAAGCTTGATTTGCTTTGAGGATCCGTTCGCCTGTAGTTGAAACGATGCTTCCCAGATAGGTAGGCAGGTAGGTAAAAGAAGTTGCTAATTTCAGATTTCCTCCATTTATGCTGATTGTCGTCTATTGCTGTTGACCAGAAATCGCCATCACCTCTTTTTTCCTCATGTTCACCTGAAATCCTATCTTCTATGCTTCTTCTATTGCCAACATCTTGCTCTTCACTTGCATATCTTCTAGTTTGTGGGAAATCAGACATATGTCATCGGCGAAATACATGTCCTCCAAGTTTTGGTGTGAGTCCATTTTATGCCTGTTTCTTCGCTGCCTGCCGCTGTCTGTCGCATTATCCAGTGTACCGCAATCAGGAAATCATTAGAGATAGTAGGCAGCCAGCTAGCTAGCCTTGTCTTACTCCCGTCTTCACTTCAAAGATTCCGTGAGTTTCCCGTTGTGGATTACTTGGCATGCAGCATTATCGTGCAACTGTTGGATGAGGTGTATAATTGTTGGCATCACTCCTTGGTAGCAGAGAAGTAGTTTCCAAGTCACACCTCTCTAGACGCTGCTAAAAGCCAGTTCAAAGGTATGAAGTTCAGGTAGAGAGGTGACATTTCAAGCTCTGCTCAATAAAGATTCGCAGTGTCGCGATTCGATCGCAGCCTGTTCCGTCTACGTTTTTCATCTAGAGTGTTTTTGATTCTTTCCAGGATGATGCAGTTTAGTATTTTGCTTGGGATGGACAGTAGCATAATGCCACGCCAATTCTTGCATTGACCTAGGTCCTCTTTCTTTGGCAGTATGAATAAGTAGCCTTTCTTCCGATCTGCAGGTACCTTTTCCTCTTTCCAAACCTTCTCCAGTCGAAAATACTTTCTTTTCATACTAAAACCTGCACTGAAGTTGCCGTCTAGGGGGACACCGGAAGCTTCGCAGTTAAACCAACCATCTCAGAGAACAGAACCAAAATCAAATTCATTCACTTCAGCCTGCTTAAATCACTGGGCTACCGGAGTTGTTTTCCACCAAATAGCCTAATTTCATTTGCATTTATCGTTGTTTTAATCGTCCAGTTATATCAGACGACGTGTACATGAACATTTGCTCTTGCTTTAACTTGCTTTCAAGTAGATGCTGTAAAATTCTTTAGCGAAACTAAGATATCTTTCAGATTATTGCTATACATGTAAATCCTGTATGAAGAAAAAAGGGCAAAGTTCAACAATAGTGTCCCAAGGGATATGAACGCACTAAGTGACCTTCAGCCAACCAATCATAAAAATGAGGAATTTTTGCACAAAACATGACCTATATTTACATGAAAATGCTTGAAAACAAATTAAACAGGGTATCTTTCTCTGACATGACTTAAAAGTACGTCCCAGTTATAATGAGGAGTATCAGTTGCTAAGTGAGACTAGTTCCTGTACATGTGTATCCACCAAGGTGACTGAAAGTGAGCTGTCTTTGTGAATTGTTCATCTATCTTATTCTGATGTGCAATCTTTCTTTAAGCCCTCGCTTGAATTATTATGCTTTCAAATAAGAGCATCGACAACTACCTGTCAGGGAAATGTGGATAAGAAACCAAATTAAAATAAACCTATCCTTAATCATAACCCTTATCCAAACAGTAATTCTAACCATGATCCTAAACCTAACCTCAATACTTACCCTAACCTTAATCCTAATTGTAACGAGCTATTAACACAACGTCAAAACAGGACTTAAAAACGTGATCTGGGTGAAATTTACTTCTTAGCTGGTGAATAGCTTTGATATTTCAGCTATGATAATGATAGATGGTGTTAGCCAACGACGACTAGCATGCGTTCAAGGTCATTGGAGCGTTCACACTCCTGGAATGTTATTGTTGAACTTTACTGAAAAATGTGTTTTGGAACTAAATAAGCTGAAAATGTTTGATCCATATGTTCGCACATTGTATGAAATAAAGGCTTATTATTATCATCATCATTATTATTAATTTTCTCCATTACTATCCAACAAGAATAACAAACCAAAACACGAGACTGTCAAAAATGCCATTAGGCACTTTAACACATCGAATTAATTCTCACTTACAAAAAAAAATTAAGTACTACAGAACAAAACCAGTCAACCGAAAATCGACCATAAGAAGAATATCTTCTCAATAAGGTGTGATCGCTAACCCTGTCAGCAAAAATAACACACCAGAAAATCCGCACAGATAATCGAAGGTCAGGATCACTCAAAAAGAACACAACACATTATCAATATCATTCAACACACAACTAACTACAAAGGGAAGTATTCAAATTGGAGACATTAGCAAATAATGGGACTAATTCAGTAGGTGATATACAAACGTTAGGAGAATAATTGATAGACTAGATGAGATGTCTGTCGGCTTCTTGTTCAAATGCTTCGATGATGTCTGGTCATGTTTTAGAAGTTAACTGTTGGATGATGACTGGCAGTAGTGGAATCCAGGAACACGCGCTTTTAGCCCCATTTTGGACTCGTCAGGTGGATGTACCTGCATTTTTCAGTTAGTGATTATGTTCCCACCGAGTGGTCCAATTACTAGTAGATAACGCTTCTGCGTTTGAAACTATGGGCACTGGGTTCGAGCCTCGGTGGTGGAAACATCATCACTCACTGAGAAATGCAGGCACATCCAGTGGCTGACGAGTTCGAAATAGGGCGAAATGCGCGTTACTTTGGACCCCACTGATAATCACCATCCACCAATTAAATACTAATTATAATGTGTGTTGAAGCATTCAAATAAGTATAAGCATTGTGCACAGATCGCTTAGGAGTGATTTTTCCAAAAAAAACAATTCTGTCACAATTTTGGAATAAACATTTGTTTACCACCTGGGAACACACATGCTACCCATCTATTTACTGCATAATCTGGACAACATCGTTTGAACTACAGATGACACAGAGGGGAATGTCAAGCAAGGTTGGGTCAGGTTGGTAAAGCAAGACAGGCGTTCACTCCTTAAAAGTCGGTGTGAAAATCTACAGTCTGTCTGTCTGTCTGTTTTCGACATAGAACTTTGCACAAATGTGCGGAAGTTCAAGTCGCCACATTCCGTGTAGCACGCGAAGCAAGAGAAGAAAGTACAAGAAAAGCATAATAGAAACAGTGAGCAGAGGTGTGAGACAAAGGAGTAATAAAGAAAAACAAAACAGTTTCATTGGAGATCATAAGTTACAAGGAGTGGATGCATCTGCGCTAGCCACTGAGAACGATTTTGAGCCATGTCACCAATTGTTTCCAACCATAGATTTTTACCGTCCCGAGGACCCCAGCCTGGAAGTCTACACCTTTCTACGTGGCTTAGACCAACTGTTGTGGATTTCATTGACTGATGCCAAGTTTTTGTTTGACCGCCGCTAGCTTTTTTCCAGCCTGACCCTATATCCGCTAACATTTCTCGTCGAGGGAGGCGATGGCTTGGCATACGCAACACATGTCCTAACCATCTCAGTCTTTGTAACTTCACGACTTCGTCGATTGATTTCCCCTGTTTACCTAGCACTTGGCGCCTAACTTCAATGTTGCTCACCTTATTATGCCACTTTACACGGGAAATAGAGCGCAGGCACCTATGATCAAAGACAGCTAGTCTTTTCATGTCTTCCACTCTGAGTGGCCAGGTCTCACAACCATAAAGGAGGAGGGAGCGGACAGTACTGAGTATGTGGAACAGTATACTAATTTTCAACATATATGTCAGTTCAGTGCTTCTATATGGCTTCAGAGATTTGGCGTTCCCCTTTCAAAAAGGCATTTTATCAACAAAAGCTATATTCACTGACTCCATAGTGAATATTTTAGAAGGGATAGACAGCAGTAAGGACCTCTGACAGCTAGCCAACCAAGAACCTATTGCTCTAACAAACTAGTAGAAGGAAATAGAGGTGGTTTGGGGATACATGCTGACTAGGAGACACAGATTTAACTGACATCATCCAACAGAGCCACAAGACAAATCCCAATGAAAAGCGAAATGTGTTGGACAGAGGTGGGGGAGACATGGAGGAGATCATATCTGCAGGAGGAGGAGAAGGAAAAAAATGAAACCTTGTGGGAAAGTGGTGGAACCAGCTGAAACAAGACTTCAGAGAATGCTGTGAAGTGGTGACGTGCTATCACAGTTTTAAAAACCCCCTCAATATCTAATCTTCTTACAGCAAGAAATCAATAATTCATCCGATTGGTCCTCTTCCATTTAGCTTGTTTAGAAGTCACCTAATTTAAGTTATCAAGAGAGACTCTGGACATGCAGTGTGTTATTAGAGAACTTGAATTTTCTAATGGAATGTTAGATAAGATGTAATGACTACTTCTCAATAAATTTAAACTTCTCATTTAAACATTATGAAAAAAGGACAACTCATTAACGGTTGTACAATAATATGTAGCTTCCAATGCCTGAATTATTATTACTATTGTTCCCATGGGTTCCTAGTGGAACATAGGGCTTCAACTGCACGTCTCCACTTGCTTCTGTCTTCTGCTGTACTTTTCACCTGCATCCATGTTAGTCCATACTGCTTCAACTCCTCCTCACACTATCTCCTCCATGCCACCCTTGCACCGACGTCCCACTCGCCGCTGCCCTTTCGGGTTCCACTTGAGCAATGGCATGACGCGCGCGCGATGTCACCCAGCGGTCTCCTCAGCCGCGAGTGTCCAATCCATCTCCATCCACTTTATCCTGCATATTTGTTGGGTGGCGATTGGTTCTTGTTTTGTTTGCTTGTTCCCATAGTTTCTTGTTGGTGATTGTTTCCGGCCCGGCCATCTCATCTTCAGTATAGATCCAGCGAAGACAGTTGTTGGTTGATAAAGGTATGCATGCAACAGGCTGTTGGAAATATTCTTTGTGACCCACCCGCCAAGTTTCTGATCCGTATAGAAGAACTGACTGACTGACTTGACGTTGTTTGTATTGAAAATCCGATCGAATTTTGTTGTTGATGCTGAGTGACGAAGATTTTTCCAGATTGATTTCAGGTTGATGAATGTGTTTCTCACCTTCCCGATTCTCGGTTTGACATCCTCGTCCGTTCCTGCTTCCTGTAGTTGAGACAATGCTCCCTAGATAAGTGAAGTGGATGAAGTAACCTTTTATCAAATCCCCCTGTTGATAGTGATTGGCGCTGGATGTTGCTGCTGTTGTTGTTGGTTGGTTATTTTTATAACCTCCGTCTCGTCTGTGTTCACTTGGAGTCCTGTCTTCGCCGGCTGCTTCTTCGACCAGTCTGTCGGTCGGTTTTCGCTTTTAAGTCTTCGATTTTGTGTGACATCAAACATAAATGATCCACGCGCGAAATCCAGGTCTTCTAGGTTCTTCACGTTGGTCGGTCCAGGATATCCCTGTCTTTCTTTTCCCACTCACTGTCTGACGCATAATTCAGTCCAACACAATTAGGAATGCCATTGGTGATAATAAGCCCCCTTGTTGACTCCTGTGTTTACTCCAAACGCCTCGCTGAGTTTTCCGTTGTGGATCACTTGACATGTTGAATAAGGTTGATGAATATTTGGAGTACGCCGTAGTACTCGAGTAGTTTCCAAATTACTTCGCAGCCAACGCTGCCGACGGCCTTCTCAAAGCCTAGATTACTACCTCGCTAGTTTTCTGTCTGATTTCAAGCCCGGACAAAGAGTGAGGGTTGAAGCGTAATGCTAACAACTCCACCCCCAAAACGTAACCAAATTGCTACAGAAACTTCAATGCACAAATATATTAAAAAATACTAACATATATCGATGAGAAAAGTTCATTTGGACGAATAGGGATATTCCTCTGTAACACTCTTTACACATCATGTAGATAACAGAGGAAGAGAAAGGGCTACACAGATAAATTCGGATGTCTCCAAAGCAAGAAAAAATTTAAAATTGTGGGGCGTGACCAAGGTGAGATAACAATACAATTAATGAATAAGTTCAGATACCCTGGTAATGTTTCCCTTATCAATAACGTCACCTCATTTACAGGTATATATATATATATATATATATATATATATATATATATATATCGCTTTAGTTGGTCCCTTGCCTAACAATTAGTGGACGGTCTTCGAAAATGTTCATAGTTGTGAACTATAGGATGTTAGTAACAATGTTGGCAAACCTGATTATTTAATAGCTATGAGAAGAAATTTTTTTGGATACTAAGATAAACTCAGGCACTAATTATTATTATTTCCTTAGGTTCTGAGTGGAACATACGTCTTCAACAATATACCTCCATCACATCTTGTTCTCTGCAGTCCTCTTCAGCCAATCGTGAATTTCCTACCTAATGAGCTCTCATCTCTTCCCTAATGATAGCCTCCATTTCACCCGCCTCAAACCCTAGTCAAACTCTTAGCTTCTCATTTGGGTTCCACTCGAGCGATGGCCAGGCTCTCAACGTCACTCTTCGTTCTGTTCAGTGTATATTCGATAAATCTCTATTTCAGGATTTTCATCATGAGCTGACATTAGTTAGAGAACCATTGGAAAACCTGCGAGTACTGGACAGCTGTTTTGTCCTAATTTGGGACTTTTCATCAGTACGCACCCACCCCACTGCTAGGGTTCGAACCAAGGACCTACTGGGTACAACGTTAGCGAGGTCGTAGACCATTGAGCCGCTGAGACTTGATTCAACGGTCCTTGAATTCTAACTTCTGCGAACTCACGACATAGCGCGATCCCAGCCAATGTCTTCGGCATGCATTTGTTCTTACACTTCACCTGCTGCACCCTACTGGTTACGACTTCTCTATTTCCTACATCATATCTGTTCCCTGTTGCTTATCATTCCTGGCCAGTTATCTTATCTTCAATAGGGAGCCAGCATAGCCAGCTGTTGATGGCCAATTGAAAATGCTCTTAGTGACGCGTTAAGTTTCTGATCCATAACATTAGTGTTGTAAATCCCAATTTCATTCTTCATGTGGAACGCAGCATACTGATTTCAGAGGGGTGAAGGCATCTGTCCTGTCTGTCGGATCCCGGCTTCTACACCCTAATCTGTGTCGCCTAAAAGAACACACCCTTCAACTTAATGTAGTCAAAATAAAGGTTTAGGTAATTGTAAAAAGTTTCGAATTAGTTTGAAAATTGATAAATATGAAAGTCATCTTGCACTTTGTCCCAAACGGAGACTCGTTAACAGGTGGGGATGTATTTGTATTCTCAGTGAGAGGTGATGATTATGGCATCACAGTGGGACTCGAACCCAAGACGCATCGTTTCAAGTTAAAATTGAATTTTGAATTTGTTTTGTTTTTTATTTTTTTTCCTTTATGATCACATCATTTTCTAATAGTTCACACTGTGAAAGAGAAACTGGTTCTAGCTATTCCTGCTGTTTTTCTTGTTAATAAATATATATATATATGATAATTACGTTTAACTCTAAGGACAAATTCAAACTGAAATGATCTTTACTGTTATTGTTATTCTTGTTGTTATTTAAAGGGTAACACAAACGCCGAACTATTCTTACGGTACACAGAATCTAATGGAGAAGAACGTGAGATAATAATGTATGGTAAGTGTTGTAATTGGTTTACTGATTAAATGAAACTGTGTTTCTTTTCATCAAGTGTTTCCCTTGATACAAGGATTTGATTGATCACAGGTTTAGTCATAAGATGATATAAGTTGGAGAGAGAGAACGAGAATCATTGGATACCTCACAGAGACAGTATTGAACAGCTGTTTCATCTTCGTTTGGGCTCTCTCAGCATGGTGCGCTCACCGGAGTTCGGATCCAGGGTGTGCTCTGAGACCATTCAGCCACAGGGACCACCGGGTACCAATGACCATCCCATGAATTTCAATTTCTATTAATTCCCAATGAGTATACATACCGCAACCACCATTCAGTGTCATCTGAGGGAAAATATTCTCCAGTTTGACTTGAGAGAGACTCCTCACTAAGAACTCCAGATAACTTCATAGGTTTGAACCCCAGGATGTAAGGTGTGTACTGGCGAAAAGTCACAAACTACAATGAACTAGTTGTCCAGCACTTTCTATTGGTTTCCAGTGGTTCTGTAACTGATCAAACGTGTATTTCGCTTTCCGCATATATAGATTTTTCACATGCTCATCGATTTAAGTAAATAAGTGTTTAAGTTAGGTTTCCTCAAGAACCTAAAGTAGTTAGGTAATCACTGAAAGACAACAAATACTGAACGGTTCCTTTGTCCCAGTCTCAGACACAGACAACAGTCTACACCCTCCTACGTGGCCTAGACGAACTGTTGTGGATTTACCTGACTGGTGACATGTTTTGGTTCGACCACAAACACTGGCTCTTTTCCAACCTGATCCATCTTATGTTAGCTAATATTACCCGTCGAAGAAGGAGGTGGCTAGTCATGCATGACACATGTCCTAACCATCTTAATCGATGTAACTTCACAGCCTCGCCGATTGATTTCCCCTCCTTACCTAGCACTCGACGCCTAACCTCAATATTGCTCATCCTATTGTGCAACTTAACACATACTGGAGATAGAACGCAGACACCGACGATGAAAGACAGATATACTTTTCATTTCCTCCACTTTCAGTGGATATGTTTACTCACAGCCATAAAGGAGGACAGACGAGTTGCTGATTAGTACACACGTCTTTCGGTGGGTAGTCAGCCAGAAATCATGTCTACCAAGCCAGAGATGGCGTAAGTTAGCAGGCAAATGCTAAAAGAGCCTTCTGTATCAGCGCTGAGATTTCATCAGAGATTAGTCCACTCAGACTGGTTGATGCAACTCCAAATAAGTGAAGTGGTCAAACGCTGTACTTCAATCACTATCTTCAAGCTGAGAGTTGAAGTAGTCCAGACTGTGACCTATTCATCTTACATATAGCGGGAGCGAATCTTATTTCAAACATTTGAAGAATGCTGCTCGAAGTGTGTTCAGAATACTCAGCGTCTTCATCCACAAGGACTATATCATCTGTTTATTCTAGGTCAATGAGATTATTCCCCTACGTTAACAAGTCAATACTTGGGTCGCTGAAGTCACTTAGGATTAAGTCCATTAGTACAATATTTCTGATGAAAATAAACAGAAATGGGACAGCCGACATCACTGACAGACAACACTTGTCGTCACCACTTTAGATGATAACTGACCGTAGATTTTTATCTGGCTGACTGCATGAATTCGAGTAGAGTGAGTGCCTTGATCAGAGCGATGTATTTCTTGGGCATTCTCTTCACAGCGTAACGTCGCTATCTTTAGTTCAAGAAATTTGACGATTGTTGGACGCCGACAGTTAGTATGCCTATGTTCCAGAATTTATCGAAGAGTGAAGATATGATCAGTACACCCCTTTCTTGGTCCAAAGCCTGCCTGGTTCTCTCGTGTTTGTTCCACGCAAGCAGCACTTATTCTAAGCATGATTACTGAGCCTAGAACTTTAGATACCACAGTGGTTAAGCTAGTCCCCCCGTGTGATTATCACAGGAAGACTTGTCTCCCTTCTTGTATATCGGGGTAGCGGATTAATTTTCAAATGTGTTGGTTTTAGAGTGTTTTTTTTCAAACTTTCTACATCAGTTAATTTATAAAAAAATTTTTTGAAAAGCACGGAAACTACTTTTAAGTTTTACTTAAATTTCACATTGTCTTCCACTAATAAAGCATGGTTTAATTGTAAATTTATCATATATTTGAAGTGGGTTGAATTACCACTCGAATACACACACACACACAAACATACATATATACACATGCACATACGCATTCAACGAATCATGAGACAAGCATACTTTGAAATTTCAGAAATAAATCTTATACTTAAATGTGACCAATGAGCATAAGACTGGTAATTGTTTACCCACACACACACTTGTAATGCATAGTAATTTATAAACTAATCGATACATTGTGGTAATACTTGAGTAAAAGAAGAACGACAAATTTCGTAGAAATTTGATTTATTCCAAGTTTTTCCGCCGATGGTTATAAGTTAGAGAAAACTAAGCAGTACTGGATAGCTGTTTCGTCCTAGATTGAACCTCTTCATCATCAGTACGCGCCGACTGAGATTCAAACCAATAAGCTTCAGGTTACAAGGACAGCTCATAAACTGTTCAGTCACTGGGACTCGACTCTGAGGTTCGTGAATTCCAACTTCTAACAGTTCGTTATTTTAGCGTGACGACCAGCCAATGATATTCTAACTGATATTTTTGATGGGGTTGTGTTCTCTGAGCTAGCTGGATGGTTTATTTGCGAAGCTTTCATCACCCTACTGGGTGACATCTTCCGCCAGCGAATACTTCAATTTGAAGTGAGCTTTTAGATTTCTCCACGAGTTTATTAATCATCTCTCCTGTCGGGTGACCTTGGACGTGATTGGTTGTTTTTGTGTGTTTTCACACCTTCTAAAAATTCTCTAGTATTCTTGTTGTTTCTCCAAGAATGCTAGAGAATTTTTAGAAGCTTGGCATTCCAGTGAATCATCAGTCAATAGACACATCGAGATAGTCAAAATTTATCAACCGATAAGAAAGAAACCTCACACACACAAAGGGTCAAACTTTAAGTCAAGGAAACAATCAGTTCCAATACAATTAGTCACCTAGAAGGTGTGAAAACACACAAAAACAACCAATCACGTCCAAGGTCACCCGACAGGAGAGATGATTAATAAACTCGTGGAGAAATCTAAAAGCTCACTTCAAATTGAAGTATTCGCTGGCGGAAGATGTCACCCAGTAGGGTGATGAAAGCTTCGCAAATCAATTATCCAGCTTAGAGAACACAACCACATCAAAATCATCCACCTGAGCTACAAATCTTCTCTATCATATCTAATTCTAACTGATATATCAGTCCATGGTCAAACTGAAACAAAGAACAACAGATTATTACCAGAGTGATATGAGCTCAGTTTTTTTTTATTATTCTGTGGTTCCTTCTAAGCTAGCCAAATCCTGATAAATATACGAGGATAAATTGCCAAAGGATCGGAACACACTTTTTATGAGCTGATAAAAAGACTCCATCCGGAAGATCTGGATTTCACGTGTAGATGATTTATGTTCAGTGTCGTACAAACTCCAAGACTTTCCGGCGAAAACTGACAGAAGAGGATGGCAAAGAAGACACAACTCCAGGTGAATATAGAGAAGATGAAGTGATGAAGATAGCCAATCAACCACCACCAACAACAACAATCAGCACAGACCACTACCGACAGTAGAAATTCGACAGAGGTCACTTCCTACCTTCACTTTACCTGGTTAGGAAGCATGGTTTCAACCACAGGTACGCGGAACGGATGATGATGTCAAAGTCCGTTCAGGCGGAATCGGAAAAGCAAGAAAATGTCTTCATCAAACTGAAACCAGTTTGGAAATCTTCTTCCTCCCCCTCAATCAGCCAGCATAAAGAACAAGATAGATTTGAATTTTTAACACAAATGTCAGTGAAGTCAGTCAGTCAGCCAGTCAGTCAGTTCTTCTATACCGACCAGAAACTTGCACTGCACGTGTGTCACGAAAAGGATTTCCAACAGCCTGTTGCAGACTTTTATCAGCAACTGCCCTCTTCACTGGCTGGCTCTATACTGAAGATCAGATGACCAGCCGACCGTCCAGAAAGAATTAGCAACAAGAAACTCTGGCTAGCGATGAACAAACCAACCAAGATCCGATGACTCAACAAATATGTTGAACGAAATGGAGATGGATTGATTGGGCATACGTTGAGGAGGCCGTCGGACGAAATCGCACTCAATGAAGGCCATTGCTGTAGTCGAACCCAATGGGAATTGAAGATTGGGTTGTCGGTCCGAGGGTGAGGAGATGAGAGATTATGTGGAATCGTGGGGTTAGCTGAAGAGGACTTCAGGAAATAGAACAAAGTGGGATTGTATTGCTGAATCCCTATGTTTTAGTGACAAAGAAGAGCTCTTTCACCGTATCATTTGAAAGTGACACAGAACAAATGTTTTAATTGACCTTCCTTGAAAAATACTAAAATTTACTGGTAAGTTTTTTAGAGTCAAATAGCCAATGAGAGAGCCCGACCTTGGCGAAGAACGGAAAATATAAAATGCTCCACAAATTCATGACAGCCGTGAAAATATATATCCATTTTAAGATTATAGAGGCTAATATCAGTCAAAATTTACACAAAATACAGGGATATACAACGTCAGATGGTTGGAGGCAATCAGCAAGAAGCCTTTGAACTAGATAGTATTTCTGATTGCAGCCATGTGTGACACGGGTTCGAATCTCAGAGGGGATAGGAGTTCCTTAATGATTGTAGTTACGCCTTACTGACGAGTGCCAACAAGCACCAGGATGTTTTGTTTGTGATTTTTTTGAGGGGCTTAAATTCTAGCAAACGATAAGTCAGTGCTTATGTGCACTGGCTGTTAGTCGGAAGATATTCTAGACAGTGCATGCCAAATATTTTTATTCCTCTACGTTCCCAGTGGAACATAGGGCTTCAGGCTATAGGCTTGAAGTTTCTGTAGCAGTGGTGATTATTTTTACAGGATGCGGTTGCTAGCCGCCTCATGCCCAACCTTCTCTCTTTACCAGTCTTGTTACTGTCTTACCGAGGTAAAGGAGTGCATCAGCCGGGGGTCAAACTCTGGACCACGTGAAGCGTCCTCTGTAGTCCTCTTCAACTGGCCTCACAACTCCCCATAGTCTCTCATCTCCTCCACGTCATCCTCGGAACCATGCCCAACTCGTCGTTCCCCATGCAGATTCCACATGACCGATGGCTAGGCGTGCAATGCCTCCCGACAGTCTCCCCAGCATATTTCCATCCATCACTCTCTACGTTTGTTGAAAAGTAGGTTCTTGATTGGTCCGTTTCTAAGGGATTCTTGTCCCCGATCCCTTTTGACTGGCCATGAGATCTTCAGTATCGAGTGAAAGAAGGCAGCTCTGTTGATAAAGACCTTCAGTGGCCTGTTAGGAATGCTTCTGCTAAAGCGCCAAATTTCTCTGACTCATATAAAAAGGACTGACTGACTAACTAACTTAACATTGGTGTTGAAGTTGTAAAGATTTTTGTTTATGCACCGATATTACTGAATGTATATATTTCTCTCAATTCTGTAAAATTTCAGGTCCAGAACGTCCTTTTTTAATAGCGTTTTCTAGTGTTCAAATGAATAGTGCAAATTCACCTTCACATCATCAGAACAATAACGGTAACACCACCACCACCACCAACAACAACAACAACAGCAGTGCGAATAGTCCTGACACGAATAACTATAGTCCTCAAAATAAAGATATTTTTGAGATCATTAAAAAGATGTCACCTTCTCCACAGTCCGATATTCGTGCCAATGATAATGATTGTATTATACCAAGAGATCAAATTAAAGTCAGTTTTGTTCTACGTTCAATGGAGAAAAGTTTGAATGAAGAGAACAATCATACCGGTAATCAAAGTGAGAAAAAAAAAGTATTTCCCTTTAAATTGCCTCATTATTTTATATCTATTTCATTTAGAGAAATGAGCAATTTCAAGTTAGAGTTCGAAAAATAAAGGAGTACCGCGTAATGGCTACTTCGTTCTAGTTTTAAACCCTTAAAGCAGTAGACATTCACAATCTCATCAATGATCAAACATGATAACTCAAAGGTAACAAAAAGTACCTGTTAGTCAACCAGCTACTAAGATTGGATCCAGTGACCCATGAAATCTTACTCCAAGTATTGGTTTTGTAGGAATTTTGTTTGATTGGTTACAAGACTTCATCATGAGCTGACATTGGTCAGAGGATCATTGGAGAACTTGCTGGGAGTACTGGACAGCCGACTGTTTCGTCAGCCTAGTTTGAGACTACTGAGCAGTACGCATCCATCTCTACGGTTCGAACCCAGGACCTTCTGGTTACAAAGCGAGCTAGCTCGCAGACCATTAAGCCACTGGGACCCGCCAATCCAATGGCCAGTCCATGAATTCTAACTTCTACGAATTCATGACATTGTGTGACCACTCATGATGAAATCCTCCAACCAATGAAACAGAATCCCTAAAAAATCAATACTTGAAAATCGATCTGATGCTCACTAGCGACTGACCGTATTCAGGCAGTCACCTATGGTTCTAGTGGGAGGTCGTGACCTGTAGGTTGCAGCAGGTTGTGAATATGAGTCAGTAACTCACCGAAGAAGACATTTCTGTGTTACTCTTGAACGCTGAAATGCTTCCTAAGAGTCTTAGTAAATTTTATTTCGCTTCTAAACTGTACCTCATGACTTTCTTATTGAATACTGAGTAGCACACACATCATGAGATTGCATATGATGAAACAGTCAAAGAGCACGGCAGGTATTTAAAATAGGAATGTACAAAGACCCTCTTTCAGTTATCTTAATGAATCCATTTGGGTTCCAGTATTTGTATGTAGTTGAATCTCTCAGTTAGCTGGATGGTTTATTTGCGAAGCTTTCATTGCCATACTGGGCTGCATCCTCAGCGCATACTTCATTTTCTTGAAGTGAGCTTGTGGATTTCTCCACAAGTTTATTATTCGTCCCTCCTGGCGGGTGACCTTGGACGTGACTGGTTGTTTTTGTGTGTTTTCACACCTTCTAGGTGACTAATTGTACTGGAACTGATTGTTTACTTGACTTAAAGTTTGACCCTTTGTGTGTGAGGTTTCTTTCTTATCGGTTGATAAATTTTGACTATCTCGATGTATCTTTTGACTGATGATTCACTAGAATGCCAAGCGTTTTAAAATTCTCTAGCATTCTTGTTGTTTCCTCTGTCTAATATTTGAATGCTGGTTGTCCCAGTCGAATTGATATCCGTGATTGTCTATGTGTTGCGATATGAGAGAGTGGATGACATTTCTTTTGACGGTTAGCTTATGTTTGTGGATTCGAAGACGAAGAGGACGTCCACTTTGGCAAATGTAGTGTTTTTCGCAGTCATTGCAATTTATTTTGTAGATGATGTTGGTTTTATTTTCTTTCGTTGTTCAGACTTTTGGTTGACATAGAACTGAGTGAGGTGGTTTTGTTGGTTTGTGTGAGACGTCAATTTCTAAAGATTTGAAGAGTCTTGGAGTGATTTCTGAGATGTCGTTTATACAGGGTAAGGCGATTTTCTTTGTGCTTTCCTTGGGGGCTTTTGATTTGATAGGTTGGCTTAGGGTATATGTCTTTTGATGAAATTCCGTGGATATCCATTCTTTTGGAAGACGTCCATGAGATATCTTTACTCAATTTTCTTTAAGGTATGAGTGTTTCAATGAGTCTTGGACCTCTTGAATAGTGTTTGTATGCAATTCCTTTTGTGTGTTGTTGGATTGTTTCTGTTGTAATTCAGTATTTGATCTGTCTGTGTGGGTTGATTTTCTATAAACCTGAGTTTCTAATTCTCCTGTGGTTGTTCGCTTGGCTAAAACGTTCAGCAATGGTATTTTGTTCTCGGATTCCTCTTTTCTTGTGAATTTGATGTTGCTGAAGACGTTGTTTATTAAGTTGTGAGTTTCATCCAACTCGTTTCTCTTGATTATTACAAATGTGTCATCTACGTAACGTATCCATATCTTGGGTTTGATCTTTGGTAGAATTATGTTTTCGAGCCTTTGCATCACTGCTTTTGCAATTAAACCTGATATTGGCGACCGCATGAGTGCTTTTTTAACTTGTTCATATATTCGGCCGTTGAAGTTGAAGTACGTTGTTAGGCACAGGTTTATGCATTCCATCCAACTTGTGTGTTGCATTTTTGATTGTTGTTGGAGGTGTTCGTCGTTGCTGAGTAGTTGCTCCATAGTCTCTCTCACTAGTTTCTGTTCAGTTGAGGTGCATAATACTGTGATGTCGAAGGATATCATTATTTCTTGTTCATCTATTTGAATCCCTCTGATTTTCTCTAGAAATTGGATAGCAGAATTGATAGAGTAATCACAGGAATCCGTTAGCTGTTTCAATTTTCTGTATGATTCTTTTGATAAATTGTATGTTGTAGTTCCCCCATAGAGATAACCTGGCACGTGATTTAATTCAACGGTCTCCTCAGAGTGTGTTTGATTTACATCCAGTTTCTTCTCAATATCTGTTAAGCAGTAGGTTATGAATTGGTTCGTTCCCATAGTTCCTTGCTGCTTACACCTTCTAGGTGCTGTCTGATCCTTACTATGGAGCCGGCGAAGACAGCTTTTGATAAAAATCGATAGCGGTTTATTAGAAATGCTTTCCCTGACGCGAATGCCATATTTATAATCCATATAGAATAACCGAAAATCAGAACTAAGTTCTTTATTCTGATTTCAGTAGGTTTCCAAACTGATTTCAGAGTGATGAAGTTGTCTGTCATGCCCCCCTCAGTTCCTGTAGCTGAAATGAAGCTGCGTAGATAGGTAGTGAACGGGAGCAGTCTCCTTCAAATTTCCTCCGCCGATAGTGATTGATGTTCGTTGTTGGTTGATCTGCCTGCTTCTTCAACCAACTTGTTGGTTTTCGCCTTTAAGTCTTCAAATTTATGTAACACTGGACATAAAACACCCGTGAAGTCCAGATTTTCTCGAGTCTTCTTGTCATTCCAATGTATTCCTGTCTTCTCTCTCCCTGTGTACAGCCTTCCGCATAATCCAGCTGACCACAGTTAGGGATATCATGTGAGTGATAGTGAGCCGATAGTCTTGTTTTACTCCTGTCCTCACTTCAGATGCTTCGTTGAGTTTACCACTATGGACCACTTGACATCTAGCATTGACATATAGCTGCTGAATAAGGTTGATAAAGATTCCTCAGCAGCACATTCCATAGTGTTGAAGTAGTCTCCAAATTACTTCGCGTTTACGCTCCAAGTGAAATATGCTTTCAAAGGGGATGATGAAGTTGGACTAGAAATTTCTCTGCCATTCACTTAAATCAGCTAACTAGGACTCCGGTGATTTAAAGTGATTCAACTCTGTGAGCTTGACCTCGAGGCTAACAAAACGATTGTCTGCCGTTTAAATCCCTTCAATGAGACTACAGGAAACCAATACAACTGTCAAGGAACTTAACCCTAACTTTCTATTATTTACAAAGACTCTCCAAACTGATAATTACTGTTTACTTTTTTTGACTTTAACTCCAAAAAAGTAAAGATAGTTATAAGTCGATAAACAAATGTTTACAAACAAATGTGTACTTTTATTCGTATTCTTTTGCCTTCTTCTTCCAACTTGTACACGATTAAACCATTCGCGCCTTCGAGTTACCCGCCAATGGTTACCAAGGTCAACAAAACAAACGTTCAATGTTCGCATCCATTGACAACAACTGTTTTAGAATAAATGGTTTCCAACTATTCATAGCATTCCATATCAGTAGTATATACATATACATATATATATGCCACAAAGCTATCTGCCTCCAGGTTGGTTGAAAAAACACAAAAACAACCTATCATTATTACGTCATTCGTGTACTTAAGATGCTGGATTAATTACATGACGACAAGCATAAAAAATAACAAGAGTAACATATACAGATAAACTAAACAAAGACAAAACAGCGAATAAGCGAGGCAGTTATTATGAGTCTGTAATTTGAGAAGTGTGTTTTATGCTTTCTGTGTGCTCACTAAATGTCTATATATATGCATATATTTAAACAGGGAGAAAATGTTGCGACTGTCTTTAATGTTTGCTTTTTCTGCCTTTTATTTCATTCTTTTCACTCCAAAATTCAACTAATTAAGCCGTAAAATCTGAGGATCCAATGAAACCAGTAGAATACACGAAACAAGAACGTGGACGTTCTAAGTCTAGAGCTCATGGACGACGTGTTGGCGCCGGCACTGGCGGCGGTGGTGATTCACGAAATAATACTAATAGTATTATGACTAAATCAAGCATATTTTTCGACAATTCAACCAGTGCATCAAAACAAGCTGCCCTGCCTTTACGAGCTGCAATCAGTACAAGTTCTCTTCAATCGGGTATAACTCAAGATGTCCAGTGTGGACAAATATTTGGTTGTCTACCGGAACAAGTGTGGCCTGATTCACAATTACCAGAATCATTGGTAGTAAGTTAGATATCCTTTTTTTTGTTTTCTTTCTGTAACATTGTATGCGTGTATGTGTGTGTGTGAGTATGTGCGTACAGGCATGACTTCACCAAGGAGTTGAACTTAGGATCCTCAGATTACGAGGAATAGTCCATTCAGTCACTTGGTTGGAAGTTAATGAATATCAATCTTTAGTTCATTTGTAGCTAGCTGTAAGATGGATATCCTGGAATTGTGTTCAGAAGTAGTGACTGGTTGTCGGTAAAGATACATTGGCAAACTGATGGAAGTCAGGATTCACGGGCCACAGAGTCCCGATCAAGTGACGTAGTGATTAACCGGCCCACATTGTAACCTGAATTTACAGGGTCTAGTGAAAACAATAGTGGGCAGTGCTGAACAGTTCTACAGAAGAATGCCACAGATGTTCAGTATTCCACAAATCTTTTTAAAAATTATTCTTTAATTAACACTGATTCTCAAGTATTTGTTTTCAAGGATTTGATTTGTTACAGATTCGATCATGAGTTGATATCAGTTAAACAGCCATTGTAAAACCTGGAAATACTGTATGTGAACCTGGTGTCAACTCACGATCTAACCTTCAACCAGTCAGATCCCTGCAAACCAGTTCTAGTGCAAAGCCGTAACCATAGCAGTCCAGTAAGTCTAGCAAAAGAGAACAGCTACTCACCCATGACACATAGCTGCCGGCTGTGCTATTTGTATACGTCTGGAATTGGCAGAATTTGGGACAGAACTTGGGATTCATCGGCCATTGGAACGGGTCCTAGGGACTCAACAGTCTACTAGATCGCCTTGCAACCGGAACGTCCCGGGCTCGAGGCCTAGTGAGCACGTACTGTTGCGAGTCCAAAACAAGGACGATAATGCCCCCCAGTACTCCCAAGTCTTCTGATGTTTCTCTAAGTGTGAAGTTACTTCATGATCGAACCTGTTATATTGATTCTTCATTAAAATGTAGGAAACATCAAAATCTGTTAGTCACTGTTTAATGTTTGCCATTAAAGTCTTACACAAATTATGTAAGCGAAGAACATCAATGAAACGTGTTAATAAAGCAAGTAGATTGAACTATTAAATAATGTTGAGCACTGTTAAACACATAACATAAAGTACTGCAGTTTATTTCTGTATAAATACATTTTTGAAGTACTTAAGTGCATCTTCTTCATTCAAGTGATTAAACACATCTCACCAACCAGTAGATTAGTCAGGAAAAGCGAGAAACTCAGTAAGCAGCTATCTTCTCGACGATTTCATCCTCAAAATTAGCTGTACAATGGCATTTATATACATGTTGTCTGCGTAATACGCTTGAAAATTCTCGGTTATTTGTCCTCCTACTGTCAAAGTGTATATAGTAGTTTGTTGATACATGGTAAAATTTCAGCCATTCAATAATTCCCACTTCAAAATTGCTAGAATGAATTTTAGAGAGGAATTTTCTGCATCAATCCTGTCAGAATTACAAATATGTCTCATCCTAATGCAGAGTAAATGAATCAGGCTTCTTCTCCGGGAGATAGGCATCCATCTATAAAAATTAGTTAATTGTGCATTCTACATTCATTTAAGATAGATGGATCTATTGAAAGATCCGTTATCACGTCGATAATCGAACCGCGAGCGCCGATGTGTGACTGGCAGGTATTCGACGCCCAGATGACTGACTCTGGAAAAAATGAAAAGGATAGCTACCTTTAGTCATAATTGTCTGTGTTCTGTTTCCCATGTTAGGTAATATAATAGAGTGAATAATATTGAAGTTAGGAGTGATGCTAGGTAATGATAGTAATGCAGTTGATGATGTTGTGAAGTTACATCTATTCAGATGGTTAGAATAGGTTTTACACAAACTCAGACATCGTTTTATTCGACGGTCAGTGTTAACTGACATATAATCAGGATGGTAAAGACCTAGTAGTGGTAGAAACCAAACATGAAATCACTCCATAAAATCTTTGACAGTTAATTTGAGCTACGTAGGGAGGTGTATACTAACTGTTTGTGAGATTCGGGATGGTAAAAGCAAATGCTTGGAGACGACTGGTGATATGGCTCGAAATCGTTCTCATAATGAAAAGTTAGGAGACGAAAGACTTGGTATAGGAATGTTTTCAATAGTTGGTTTGTATGGATTAGATGTGTGTATAGGAGTTTGACCATGGATTGATATCAGCTAGAGAACCATTGAAAACCACTTCTGAAGTACTGGACATATGTTTCATCCTAGTTTGGGAGTCATCGACAGTACGCAATTACTGGCGTTTGAACCCATGACCTTCTAGTTCCAAGACTAGCGACCTTGTAGACCATTAAACCACTGGGATCCGATTCAACGGACGTCCATGAATTCTAACTTCTAACAATTCGTTATGCACTTAGCGTGACCATCAACCGATGTCAGAGGTGGGTAGTTAGCAAACAGATTTCATGGACCATTTCACTGAGTACCATTGGCTTAATGGTATACCAGCCAGCTTACATTGCACCCAGAAGGTCCTGGGTTCGAACCTTCCGATGGGTGCGTATTGCCGATGATTCTCAAAATAGAATGAAATAGCTGTCCGGTACTCCCTGGTTGGTATTCAGTGATTCTCTAACTGACATTTATCCACGATCAACTCTTCAAAACGAAAGAATGTTTATTCGGAAATTGGTAACCCCTATATAGCCAAACTGTGCATACCTTATCTTCAACGCTTCATTTGCACAGAACTTCGTTTTGTGGTACTTCTCGCCTTCTTTCTTATTGTGTTTCTTTGCGTTGCTTTCACGTCTCCCATGTATCTCCACAACGCTTTATTATTTGCTTTCACTAACATCGAATCTATCTCTCTGCGATTTGATGTTTTAATGCCAGCCGATGAACGTCTGTTTATATACTCCACAATAATACAGGTACATTCAGCCTTTGTGACTTTCATATCCACTTAACCGTTATCTACCTCCATATTATCATTATTTACCCCTTGTGATCCTTCTTTCGAATCTCTTTTTGTCCCTCTTTTGTATTCCTTTGCGTGCTACATGGAGGGAGTGTGGCAACTCAGACTTCTGCACTTCTGTGCAAAGTTCTATGTTAAACCTCTGTCAATCAGTCAGTCAAAAACTTCTGTTAGTCAGAGAAGCATCTACTGGTTTATTTTTAGCAATAATCGATTGCCACTTTTCCACTAGCATTTTCTCAAATTCAAGACATCTTTTTTTACTTAATTGGTGGATGTTGACTTGCAGTGGAATCCAGGATAACGCTCATTTCGTCCTATTTGGGACTCGTTCGTCATTTGGATGTGACGAGCACTTCGGTTGAATCAATCGACAGGAAAATCTAAAATTCAATTAAATTAATCTTTTTTTCATGTTTTGTCTTACTTTTGTTTCATATTTTTATATATACATTACAGAATCTCTTTGCAATTGTCTACTATAATGGAGTGGATATTGAAGGGATATTTAGACGTACAGCTGTTCATAGTCAGATTGAGTTGATGAGAGCTCGTGTCGATGAAAATATTCAAACAATTACACCCAACAATTGTAATCCAATTTTAGCATCTTGTGTTTTAAAAGTAAGTGATTTTTTGTAAACTTTTCAAAGAAATAGATATATTTATATATATTTAAAGTGTGAATTCATTTCAGAAAGTTAATGTTACTGATTGAAGATGGAATGGAAATTGTTAACATAACTTAATCATGTGGTTTGTTATTTAGAAGACTGTTATTAGAATTTGATCACAGTTTATCATCTGATGGGTGAATAATAACCAGTGTGGATAGGTACTAAGATATATCATCTTGGAGAGAATAAAACATGCACTGTACCCAGAGATCCAGCCGAAATAATCTGGATTCATGAAAAGCAGATTGTGTGCTGATTAAATAGTAACTGTTCGCATCATCACCGGACAAAGCGTAGAATAGCAGCTAAAGCTGTACCTAATCTTCATCGACTTTGAAAATACCTTCGACAGCTCTGATCGCGAAGTAAACTGGAAACTATTTCAACACTATGGAGTGTGATGCTCAGAAATCTTTATCAACCTCACTTAACAACTACTAGATGTCAGTGCCATGGTGAAGCGTTCGAAGCGAAGGGGGAAGTAAGACAAGGCTGCCTATTTTCAGACACAAAGATATGCCTAATTGTGGTGGCCTGGATTGTGTGTGGGGTAGCCAGAAGACAAGAACACATTCGTCTGATGAGAAAAAAACTCCAGAAGATTTGGATTTTGTCGACAACTCATGTCTAATGTCACACACAAACTAGAAGACTTACTGGGATATAACCAAGAATATGTCAGGACAAGGAGAGAAGATAAGACTTTAGGCGGACATAGAGAAAACCTAGATGATGAAGATAACCGACCAACCGACTGCTGTGAGCCATGCCATCAGTCGAGTGGAACCCTAATGGGGAATAACGAGTTGTGTGTGTCTCTGAGAGTTAGACAGACGAGGTTTTGAGAGGGCAATCGTGAGGTTAGCTGAAGAGGGGCACAGTGAATAGGACAAAATGTAGATGTACTGCTGAATTTGCATGCTTCACTAGGTACCCAAGGGGACAATAATACCTATTATTATGCGTCTGCGTACTTGTATGCCTTGTAACATGACACTGCCGTACACCTCTCTATCTTCTAGATACTGGATTTTGATTTATAGAAAGGCTTCCTGCATTTTTATGACTAAGACGGATCCAAGTTACCTCAGAGACTGGAACATGGCAGATGACAACTCAGCAACTATCTGACTAAGCTTTGGCTGCTACAGTTAACACACATTTGGGACTGGATGATCTCCTAGACGTGTGGATGGTGTTAGAAAATATGGTGGGCACTACCTATAAGATCATAGTTTGTTACTCATATATGTGTTTTTCCTTGATTCTCCCGAATCTTACTGATCAAGGAATTGTGAGACGGACTACTGACAAAAATCTGTAAGTGTAATACATCATGCGACGTCTCCTCCTGAAATCTTTGACAGAGGAGCGAATGACAAGGTTGTAGACAAAATAAATGCTCAAAGTTGTCATTCAATGTAGAAAGAATCTAATGGAGTGAAATGAGCACAAGCGTAACACAGCAACAGGCAAAACATAAACAGTTCTACACAGTAAGGTTTCAGTGTTAGCTCCTTATATTCCCTTATTACTGTATGTGTTTGGACTAGAAACCCCTGTGACCTTTGCTATAACTGCTATCGTTGCCTACCACCAATATATAATGTTTGAGAAGGGTGATTGCCGAAGATTCTTTCAGAATTTTGAAGCAATTGTAAAGTTGATGGATGTCTTGGTAGGACACCGATGTGAAGCCCTAGAGGGAATAATATTGGTCCGAATATAATAATCAAGAAAATGACAACTTAATCTCTCACTGATATCTGTTTTGTCTAAAGCGATGGACTTCAAGTTGTAACGACAGGACACAAGGGCCAAACAACAAATCGTTTACTCAGAAAATCAAGAGATATTAATAGATTTTTATGTACGTTATTATTCGTTATTATTAGCAGAGAAACAGCGTCTTCTGATTGGTCGTTTTCTCTTTGTTGCCGTTTCTTAGACTGTCTATTGATATATATGCTAATCGTATCCGCCCACGCTGTCTGCTGTGATTGGTTGTTCAGTTATTCCGTGTTCTTATATTTTTTTCTCATGACCAAAATTTGGGAGGTAAACATTGAGGTGAATTACTGTCTACCAATTTTGGCTAGAGGACAGCTCTCACCAGAAAATATCACGACTTACTGAAGAAAGCAAGAATAAACGCATCGTTTATCAATCTATTCTTATTTCTATAAAAACGTTTATTTTATTGTAGAGATTTTTCTGTGAAATACCTGGTCATTTATTAATCGATGCTAAGTGGGATGAATGGGCCAGTCTAACTGAAATCAACTCACCATCAGAACGCTTACAATTAATTGAAAAGTGGGTTATAAGTAAATTTACAGTCTATTTCATAAAGTCATTCCTACTTTTTACATCGTTTTATTTTTACTCACTTAAAATGTTACTTCTACATACTGCTTTAAGATTAAAATAGAAGAAGGGTTGGTTCTCGCGATTGACCTCTTGTAGGACTATATCGGATATTTTTGATTGCATACTAGTCAGTAAATAGTGTAATGTGTCTAGTCCTGTCTTCACTACAGATTGAATTCTATCAGTCAAGCTTGCTAGGAGGTGGCTAGGAGGTTAATCGCGAGCCTGAATAGCTCAGTGGTGACGTCTCTGACTGCAGCACTGGTGACGCAGGTTCGGGTCTCAGAAGGGACATGAGTTCCTCCAAGGTTGAAGATACGCCTTGCTGATGAATGCCAACTAGCACGAAACCTAGGTCCAAGGCTTCCTATGGCCATTGCCTCCAACCATCTAGTACCAACAAGATGAATACGGTTTTACGCTGATCTCCATATTTATATGAATACAATTTTCAGAATAAAGCTACTACTATTATTATTAATATCTTTCCACTTTGATATCTCATCTTCTTCTTTAGATTAGTCCGCAGTCTTCCTAAAGTTAATCAAACTTTACTAGCCCTGTTAATCTACCTCCTTGCCCATATACGAGATAATGAAGAAATGAATCGTATGTCAGCGAGGAATTTAGCAGTTGTATGGGGTCCAAATCTTATTCAACGACCAAATACTCCATTGGCTTTAGACGATTCAAAGATAGCTACACAAATTGTTACCTATCTGTTAGAACCTCCAGTTACTAATTTCCTTTTGGAAACATCAAATGCAAAGAATGAGTTAAATCAACACTTTAAAAATATTTGGGGCAATTTAAAAGGCACTTCAACAACAACAACAACAAGCAAGACAATGGAATCATCATCATCATCAAAGTTGCAGAATATGTCAACTTCGATGACAATTGCAACAGCAACAACAACAATAACAGATTCCTCTGAGGAGGAGAAAAGTTCTAGACTTGACTCTGGAGTACATTCTGAGCAGAAGACGGAAGATTCAAGGCAAACACCGGTAAAAGGTGATGTTAGAATCAAATATCCATCAAGAAGAGGACATTCTGTGTCAAGTGAGTTATTTATTTTAAGAGCGAAATATCCAGTAGTTTTGATGCTGAACATCGAAAACTGTGAAACATATTTTCTGCTTTTTTCAACTTCAGACGACAGTTCTGCCATGAAGTCACAGAAGTAGCAATTTAAGGTCACTGGATTTAAAAAGTAGAGGTTAAGTTACCAACTGGTGGGTGTCATAGGCTGAAGGTCAAGGTATTCGATCCTTTGCGAGGTCATGGTTTTGTGACAACAGAAGACAAGGGCCAGGCAACAGATCGTTTATTTAGGAAATCAACAGATATTTACAGATTTTCATGTACAATATTATAGATTATTATAAGCAAACAAACACAGCCTTCGATTAGTTGTTTCTCACTGAAAGTTATCCTTGCATCTCTTTGTGATTGTTTCTTGAGTGTCAGATCATCTATATGGTTACTGTATCCACCTACTCAAAGTCTGCTGTGGTTGGTTGTTGAATCAGTCTTTGTTCGTTTTTTTCTCACGACCAATATTGGGGGCGTAAACACTGACGTAAATTATTGTCTACCAATTTGGCTGGCAGCCTGCTCTCACCACAGTTATGTACTACTGAACATCCAAAAACTAGGACGAAACGACTGTCTAATGCCTCATAGTTTCCACCGATTGCTGAACTTATGTTGGTCGGTTACGAGTTCTACATTGAAATACAGGGATTTTAGTTTCTTAGATATCACGCATTCAAGTATTGGTTTGTAGGCATTTGATTGATTCGTTGAAGGACTTTATCATGAGATGACATCGGTTGGAGAAACATTGGAAGAACTGCAGGAAGTATTAGACAGCTGTTTCTTCAGCCTAGTCTGGGGCTCTTCGTCAACACTCATTCACTGGGTTAAAACCCAGGACGTATAACCAATGTCAGCTCATAATGAAATCCTGTAACCAATCAATCATATCCTTACCTGGGTTCTAGTGGGAATTCGTGACCAGTAGGGTGCAACAGGTCGAGTGTGAAGACAAATACTCGCCGAAGACACTGACTAGCGGTTGCACTGTGTCATTAATTTGCAGAAGTTAGAATTCAAGGGCTGGCTGGTCACTAGATCGGGTCTCAGTAGATTAAAGGTCAGTCTACAAGCTCGCTAGCCTTGTAACCAGAAGGTCGTGGATTCAAATCTCGGGGGTGCGCCCTACCGAGGATCCCAAACCTAGCTGACGAAACAGCTAACTAGTACTCCCTGGGGGGGATTTCCAATGGTTCTCTAACAGGTTTCACGTAATTTCAATATATATGTGACAAAATTGCTCGCGTGGGTTACGTGTTTTCGGCTCTTAATGATTCATAAATCATCTCCAAATTGCTGTTTTTGAGATATGACTCACTCAGCAGTATTCTCAGCGTGTTTCCACTCCATCCCTGTTGCCATCAGCAGACCTGTTCTTTTCCAGAGTTCCTTGTCGCTTATCCTTCCTGGCGGACCGGCTATCTGGTCTTCAGTATCCAGCCAGCGAAGTCAGCTCTCAGTGCAAGTGTGTAATACGCTGTTGAAAATGCTTTTCATCATGCATGCACTAATTCTCTGAACCACGTGGAAGCACTGGTTTCACATTAGTGTTCATAATTCATATCTTGTTTCTTATGCTAAGTGCTGTTGATCACAACACTTGTTTCAGGTGGGTTGAGTGCCAGTCTTGCTTTCCCGGTATGATCCTCTCCGACTTCAACATCCTCGTTCGTGTCGCTTGTAGCTGAAAAGCTGCCGCCTTGTGAAGGAGACGACTGATTGTGGATCTCTGTCGCTGTTAGTGATTGATGCCTGTTGTTGTTATTCGGTTACTATGTTCACCACTATTTTCTCTATGTCTGTCTGAAGTCCCGTCGTCATCACCTATTGGTTTTTACCTATAAATCTTCAAGCTTGTGTAAAATTAGGCATAAATTGCCTGCAATTTTCATATCTCCTAGAGCCCACACTTATTATTCCCCTGTCTGTTTTGTGATCCAGTTCACGACAATGAATGGGTCACATAACTGGCTACAAAATCATCTGATTCATAAGTGGCGGAAAGGGGGTTGTCGATTAAAATTTAGACAGAAGCTTGAATAATGCTGTAATAATAACTTTCAACTTGATATGAAGGTTCGAAGGTGTGAATATAAATAGATTACAAGGGGCTTAGAAACAAAGTTACAAAGGACTAAAACTAGTTGCGTAATATTCCAGTATTGGTTTGTAGGGATTTTTTTGATTGGTTGAAATCAATTAGAAAACCATTGGAAAACCAGTGCTGGAGTACTGAACAGGCTGTTTCGTCCTAGTTCGGGGGCTTTTGGTGGTATGCACCCACCGGAGTTCCCTACAAATCGATAATTGAAATTTGTTCTGATGCTCACTAGTGTCTGCCCCTGTTCAAGCAGTTACCTGGGTTCTAGTGAGAAGTCATGACCAGTAGCGTGCAACATGTTAAAGGTGAGCACAGTTACTCATTGAAGACATTGCTAAGTGGTCGCGTTAGATCATGAGTTATGTAATAAGTAAGGTAGTTTTTAACGAGGACATGTGTGAACAAAATAAACAAAGAAACAAGTTGAAATAGTTTTTATTGCTGAAAATACAAAAGGGGGAAGGAAATGAAAAAGCAAAATACGAAAACTAAGAGGTCAAAAACCGAACTAGACCCATGGTAAATGTAGAGGTTGTACCAGTTTCCTTTGAACACATAGCTCCGACTTTTCGATGCATACGATGAGAGCTTCTGCAGTACAAAGAAGCCAGAAACACACTGCCTTTGTTAGATGTTTGTTTATTGTGTAAATGACTCTGAATAATGAATCAGTTGAGGTGAGGTGATAGGGATTGACTAGGTGTTTCAGCTATGGCGGTTCTAATTGAAATAGTGCTTCCTCTTGGCAGTCATGCTGCTGAGTACTGTTGATAGGACCCTCCTAGAACGATCTATGTACCAAGTTCCGTAGGAGCAGATGAACTGATATATACATGTCAGAACGGTCATATGTGGAAGCTTGTTTTTCATATGGCTTATAAGTAGTAGTGGGTGGTTAGAGAATAACACTCCCAGTTTTGCTGCAAGAAAGGTTTTCTTTAGGGAAGTAGAGATTCTTCTCTAAAGGATATCTGCAGCATTTACCTTGGTAATGAAGTGCAGTTTTCTCTTTTTGCTTTGATGGTCTTCTCCACGAAACGTGAGGGTACCCATTTGAGCCAAGATACTTTTGAGGACTAGAAGCTCTTCTTCTAAACAGTTAATACTGCAAATTCTTCTGAAACTGTAGGCTAGTGAAATGATGATGGCCGTTTTTGACTTACAGGCATCCAAATATAGATGTTTGTCAGTTGGTCATTCCATGATGGCTTTTCTATGGATAGAGTTTTTCAGACTAGATATCAGTTCGACTCCCTTCACTTACAGTTCGGTCACAATTTCACTATGTATTACACATCAGGAAACTTATGAAAAGTTTACAAATGCAACAGAACTATTAGAAAAATTAATTAGGAATCCAGGATGCACGTTTCAACTCCTCTTGGGACTCAGCACCTTAATGTACTCGACCTTTTCAGTGAATGATGGTGTCCCGACTGATATTCAAATCCAGTATCCATTGTTCCAAACTGTAAAGCGTTATCCACTCACTAGGGAATACACGTGCATCCAGATGGCGTGTCCCAAAATAGGACGAAATATGGACTTATCAGCTTGCAATACTGACGATGAACAGGTGAATAACACTAGAAATGCAGTACTCCTTTCTGAAGATCATTCATAGCACTAGTGTTTATTGCTTTACACTAATCAAATTTCCATTCGTCTGTAGAACACAGACTGTTGCGTTATTAATATTTCCTAAACCTCCTTACCTAGTTCACTTGTCGATAGTAAGTCCATTAAAAAGAAGGAAAAGTAAAACGAGAGGCTAACAAACCCCCACCCTGCAAAATGAAACAAAACTACTGCTTACAGGAAACCTGTAGGGAGTAATGGACAGTCATTTCGTCCTAGTTTGGGACTCTTCATCAGTGCGAACCCACCGGGTTTGAACTCAGGACCTTCCGATTACAAGGCGAGCTAGCTCGTAGACCATTAAGCCACTGGGACTCATCCATCCAACTAGGACGAAACAGCTGTCCAGTACTCTCTGCAGGTTTCCCAATTATTCTCTAATCAATGTCAACTCATGATGAAATCCTGTAACCAGTCAATCAAATCCGTACAAACCAATACTTAAAAAGTACCGCTATTGAAACTTCAAAAGTTTGTACAGTCTTATGCCCCACTCGAAAGTCAAAAAGGATATGAAACAATCTCAAGTTTGGTAATGAACTGACTGCAGTTGGAGAACCACTGGAAACCAAAGGGGAGTGCTGGAGGGCCGACGCGTCCTTGTTTGGGAAGCATCAGCAGAATGCATCCATCCATAGTCCCACACTGGAAATAGAATCCTAAACTTTCAGGTTACGAGACAAGCTCATTGACCATTCAGCCACTAGGACGAAATCCAATGACCCACCATTTCTAATCTCTAACAATTCGTGATATTTTAATTAATATAGTGATCATTAGTAACTGAATACAGGAGACAGTTGTCTGAAGTTTTTCTGAGAAGTTGTGACCAGCAGAGTTTACTAAAGTTGGATGTGTGGACAGATACCCGCCAACGACATTACCTAGCAGTCACTCTAAAATCGTGAAAATTCCAGAAGTAAGAATTAATGGGCTCGCCAGTGAGTCAGGTTTCAGTGGCTGATGAGGTTCCTGGATTTGATCACTTGTAGGTTAACGGGTGCGTACTGCTGAAGGGTGTCAAGCAAGGATGAAATAGCTATCCAATACTTTCTAATGCCTTTTAATGGTCCCTTAATTGAAATTAGTGTGTGATCAAACTTGAGGTCAATCGAATCTCTGCAAACCAACCCTTTAAACACAAAAAAATGGATATTGAACAAAGAATACTCTTCTCGATAACCCCTTCATCATCAGGCTCTACAGTTGTATATACATTATAGTGAATGAATAAATGAATTAGTGTTATGAACAACATTAATGTTGTTTAAATAGCTTCGAATCAATAATAATAAAATCAATGGATTACAGTTCAGTAGCATCAGCATAACAATACACTGAATGTCAGAAACATCAGGAAAGATGATAATACAAATTCATGAATTTATAGTCTCTACTGAAGGCCGGGGTAGTAGTAGTGAATGGCTGAACCTGCTTCTTTTGCACACAAAGCGCTGGTTGTTTCACGCGAATCACGATAGCCTCTGCTGTTTACAGCATGCGGTACTTCGATGTTTTTGGCAATTTATTCAGCACCCGGTAGATGACAGTGAAGGATTCTTCAATGCTGGCTTTGTGGCCGGCCGGTTTGAACCAGATGGTCTAATATCGAACTGTTGATGGTTTTCACAATACCTTTACTTAGTCATACTGGGAGATGTTCCCGAGTGAGCACGAAAAATCAAGTTTCTAGAACAACGGTCGATATAACTCGCCCGCACTACAAGTGCAGTTAAATAGGTAGACACAATTGGAAGTGGCTAGCTAGTCTAGGTACTTCATCTTTCAGTCGACAAATCACCATCTGTCGTGTGGAAAAATAAGACGTGTAGTTCGTCAGCATTAAAAGTTCTTTAACCTGATTTTCCTGATTTCTTCGTAATTATTTCACTTGGTATATCACCCCTGAATTGTAGTCGTATATATAAAGAGGCTTCTTGTTTACGGTTAGTGAGTAGTCCTTTTCCGCCGCTTTCTTTGTCATGTGTTTCTGGATAAATTTGTCGGGATAGATGTTAAACTTTTGTTATATATTATTGGTAAAATAAATTGAACTGAATTCATCTTGTTTCTCTTTTTTTTCCCCTGCATTGTCTGTACATACGCATATACCTACACACATTGACATACATGACCTACTTCACATATGAAGATATACCTCCACAAATAAGGTGAGTAGTTATCGTCAATGTACAATCCTTCTTTAGTATTTTTTTAATATATTTATGCGTTAAAGTTTCTGTAGCAGTTTGTTTAAGTTTTGCGGGTGGAGTTGCTAGCACCACGCCTCAACCCTCCCTCTTTATCTGGGCTTGTGATCGGCTAGAAAACAGCGAGCTAGTAATCTAGTAATCCTTCACGTTTCCAGTGGAACATAGGGCCTCAAGCTAGTGGACTGAAGTTTCTGTAGCAGTAGCGTTTGATTTTACAGGATGGGGTTGCTAGCTTGATGCCCAACCTTTCCTCTTTACCAGCATTATTTCTGGCCTAGGAGGATAGAGGAATGCGTTGGTGGCCGGGGATCGAACCCTGGACCATGTGCATGGTTGGCAGGCGTCCTAACCGTTGTGCCACCGACGCACCTAAATGCCTTCTGGGACGGTTTAATTTATATTTTACAAATAGTGTGACTGATTTCATTGCTTCTCTAAAGTATGAAAGGAACTCATTTGGTATCAAACATCTGGGGTCAGCAGACAATATCCTTTGCAATAACTTCTCGTCTAAAGCTGTACAGTTACTTTAATATGAACTGTGACGAAGATTTCCTCGAATAGTTAGTTCCAAAATAATTGAGCACTGGTCGAGAGGTAGACATATGTAAAAATTATGTTTGTTAGAATCTCAGCGAAACTGAAATAAGTAATCCCAACGTTTCTTTCGGTGAACTGGTCCAAACTTCGTCTTGGAAATCAGTCGAAATTAGAATAACAAAGGCTTATATATAAAAAAAGACATCTCTTCTTTTGAAAAACTTTATCTACTCATATGAGTTATGCAGCAGGTATCAACATGTATAGTAAACAAAATCTTATGAACTGAGATCAAAATCTGACCTCAAACTTACAAATATTGGTCTACTTTTGTCAAACGCTTTAAAAAGAGTGTACTTTTGCACTTGATTTTCAGTGATTAAGTTCGCGCATAGTTCATAGTTCTCTCTAGTTGGTTTTTAAGGGTTAGTTTTGTTTTTACGAGTTGATCACGGATTGATATCAGTTAGAGAATCATTGAAAACGAACTATGGAGAGTTAATCTGATGCTCGCTAGTGACTGACTTGCTACAGGATGGAGTTTCCTGGAGTGAGTTCTAGTGAAAAGTCATGACAAGTGAGGCGCATCCAGTCACGTGTGAGGATGGATGCCCCACTGATGATGACATTGTTTGGTATCGCGCTTAACCACAAATTGGTAGAATTTAGACTTCATGGGCTAGCCATTGAAGTGTTGGGTCCCAGAGGCTGTTTACCAGTTTGCCTTGCAACCGGAGGGTTCTGGGTTCGAACCCCAATGAGTGTGTACAGCCGATGATTCCCATACTAGGACGGGGGAAACAGCTGCCCAGGACTCCCCGGTTTTCATTAGTCCATAGTCTTAGATAGCCTTATATGAAAAAATATATGTGTAATTGCGGTATACAATAGTGTGTGTGAGTCTGGGGAAACAATTGTAAGTCATTTGTTAATCTCTCCACAAGAAGATATAAACAATCGGGAATTTAAATGAAGCATGATTGATCCATTTTTATTTATTAATCAGAACTTGTCTTGTATCAGCTAACATTATCACACCATCATTCGTGTTCAAGCTTTTTGGATTCACCCATATATTTGTAGGGATTTTGCAGTCAGTCTTTCTTTGTACGAACTAAAACTTTGCTGTAGGACCTCGGCCCTATCAAAATCGATCTCGTGCCTTAAATCCGTTGAGTTCAGTGCAATCGCTGAGCTGTTGTCTTCTAGCTTCTTCAAATATGCACAGGTCTTTTGAACCACCTTTAGACATTGTTGGTCAAAAGCAAAATAAAAATGATGGTGAAATTAATAATGATAATCTAATAAGAGAGGATATAAGGCATCTACAGCTCTGCCATATAGGGAGGGGACATCTGAGATCCTACGAAGGATTCTCAATAAAGCACGAATTAGTGTGGCATTCAAACCTACAAACTCACTAAGAGACAAGCTCTGCAGGCTAAAGGACCCTGTAGGTTGACCCAATTAGACAGAATAATATAATTTACAAAATACTTTGCAATGACTGTGAGTTAAGTCAACTACATAGGTCCAACTAGTGGCTCAGGGGTAGTCACATTCTCGGAACATAAGAATTTAGCTAAGGTTTGAATGATTGATCCCACAAAGATAAGTAATTTAGAATAAACCTCGGCAATAGCACTGCATGCATTAACACACAACCACACAATAGTGCGGGTGGGAGAGGGTTAAAATTCTAAGACGTAATATAGGTAGGTGGAGAGAGAGAGATTGATACTGAATGCTGGTTCATCGAGTCTACACACCCAACACATGCAATAGGAATGACTCATCACCAACACCAGAGATATGGAAAATACTAATACTACCAATCAAATCAAGCGATAAAAATAATGGAATTATATAAACGAAGTTAGAAAGTTGTGTGAGTAGTGCCTTGATATGAATATGATTATGAGTATCAGCAATAAATTATGCTCGAAATATGGTCGCATCAGTAAATAATATATTACTGTATAACACTACACTGTGAGACTTTATCAAAATAAAATTTTATGCACAATGAAGACCACTCATTTAACAATTGACTTATCAAGTTTTTTACGCTTTCGACTACACTAACTATTCTGTGGTTTGTTTTTTCTTTGTCTCTTCTTTTAGTCCTTTAGAATCAGACAGTGTATTCATTAATGAAAAGCACTACTCTTCTCTACTGAAGACAAATGAACCACATGACGACACTCCAGTCAACGCTCCACCGACAGTATCATCCACAGGGAATTCATCACACTCCTCCACTGTAATCAGTCGAAGAGGTGTAGGACGTATGAATAGAAAAAAGCACAGTCTACTTTCTCATATGACGTTACCAGATCAAACTGGACCACCGACTGCACTTAAACAAACAGTCGGAAATCCTGATACTACTACTAATACACAAATGGAGTCTAAAAATCTTACTAGACTAAGAGCCACATCGACAATTGTACAACCATTGTCCTCTTCATTGGCGCTAACGCCAACAAAAATAATGCTAGCGACGGCGTCGGCGTCGGCGACGACAACAACATCAGAAATGATCGGTACACCTAGACATACTTCAGATGTTCGACGCTCCAGGAATACATCATGTCCACCAAATAGGAAATCAGCATTGGTTAAACTTAGCACACCTTATCCTTTACCAAAAACTCAAGTTGAACTGGAAGCACCGCCTATACCTCCAAGACTTCAACCAACTTGTACAGGACAAAATAATCCAAGTGTAAAGTGTAATAAACACACCAGTATCGTCGCTACAAATACTCCTTCAATACACTTTAATCATAGTCAACAAACAAAAGTGAACCCTAGTCAGGGTGAGGAAAAAACTCCTTCACCACCAATACCTAAGAGAACAATTCATCGAAGAACAAGACCTCAAAAAACTACTAGTGAAATACCTGATATCACTTTACTCAATAATGCCTATTATGCAAAAGACTCCAGGTCAATGAATAATGGTGGAAATAATAATAATGGTAATACATATAGACGGCGAAATTCCATAGATTCACAAGGTGATACTTCGAGAGCATATCACGAGGCGATGGAGAACGATGAATCGACAAATAGCACTAGTTGTTACAAGACAAATGAGTATGGAACACCAATCAAGATTATTTCAGTATCTGCGCCTGGTAGTAATAATAGTAATAATAACAATAGGGAAAATACGTCAGAGAAGTCTTATCGATATTCCAATGTAAAGAACACTGATGATGACAATCTTGGTAGTAATAATAATTCCAGTATGAAATCCACCACTAAACTGCTTCAACCGTCTACAGATCATAGAACACGGAATAATATGCCACGATCAGAAAGTGATATGAGTGTAATATCTTCGGACTCTTCGTCTTTCTCTTCACCATCAATGTCTTCGTTTCGGAAGCACAGTAACAACAGACAAGATGTTGATTTGACCGCCAACGCCAACTCCAGCCCCACCAACACCAACATACCATCTCCAGTGGTTCATCGACCAGAGTTCAATACACAAGATCTTATCATTAATCCACAACAATGTAAATCAGGCCGTATTATCCATAGGATGATATCGCTACAGCATCCATTGAAAAGTATTAAAAAGTTGAGTATTCCAAGTGATAAGTGCACCGTAAACAATCCACTACCGTCATCCTTTTCATCCTCACTATCATCATCATCATCACCAACTTCATTCAGTAGTTCTGATATTGGTTATGCTACAACATCTCATCATGAGAATCAAGATATTGTTGAAGAATTGATCGTATCGAGTATGGTAAACCAGTTAGTCGAATGAGTTCACATGCTTCTACTATATCTAGTGGTTCAGCGACTGTAATTTCAACATCAACAGAAAAATAGTCCCGTCATTCACTGTATTTGTCTGTTTTTTTTTATTTGTTTCATTTAATAGTTTCCATTCGGCTTTTGCTAATCATATTCATTTAAAGAACTATCTATGCATGCCTATAGGGATTGCTTAAGCACAGAAATGGAAGCCCAATGAAGTCGTCAATTATATATGTGTATGCAGTTCACCAAGTAAAACATATTAGGGCTGTGATGATAAACACAGATAGGAAGGGAAGTCTTAAACACCATTCTGTCATCAAAGAATAATATTGATTTTCATTCGTGAGAAAATGTACACGTATACACACGTGTGTACTTGCAAATCAAGCATCCTGTCTGTCTCCACCCCCTGCTGTCTCTCTCTCTCTCTCCAGCTTCTTCCTCCCTCTTCTCAAATCAAACATTCTGCCTCTTTTTCGTTGAATCAGAAACAGCTGCAGTTAAAGTAAGAATGAATGAATCACGTTGATTGGTGTTACACAAAACGCAGCCCCGTATTGATCAGATGATTGAGCATTCTTTATCTGGTTCCTTCCTTTCTTTTCTTTTTTGCAAATTCAATGAAGAACTCATATCGATTTTTGATTTTTTTATAATTGATTGAAGTGAATAATGATCATATTGATAATAATAATAATAATAACAATAATAATAAACTGCTTGCTACCCCGTCCCGTTGTATTTCATGTGTACATATTACTATTATTATTACGACAATTATTACTATTGATATTATGCATTCCACAATCCTAGTTTGCTGTTGACGTTCTCCTTCTTCGTCGCCTTTTATTGTGTGAAGAAGGGAATAACCATGGAAAAATATTTAATAAATAAATAAATAATTGAAAATAAATATTTATTATTTTTGTTTTTTAATGCTTTAGGAAAGTGTTTCCATTAAGTTATGTGTATATGTTCAAATCAAGTTCACTTTATAACAGTATGAAAACATTTGAGCATTGGATCTGTGATATTCATTATAGAATAAAGGTTTTTTGTATTTCCCAATGAATGAAAAAGACAAAACGATATTTTTGTTTTATTTAACTGACGTTTCGCTATTCATTAATGCTGCTGCTGCTAATAGCTTTATCAAAGAAGTAACATTGAACCAGAATTTACAAAATCCATTCAGCTTTTTTACGTTGTCAATTCGACCAATTGGTAAAAAATAATAAATCCAGGTGTATCGACTGTTGGATTTGATAAGTGTGTAAAATTATACAAAAGCAGCGTGTGTTTACATAATGAAATCGCTTATCACATTCGTGTTGATTTTGTCATGTCATATGGGAAGCGAGGGTGAAATATTAAACATTACTGAAACTCTTAAGCAAAACAACTAACTACCCAAGGAACTTCATCAACAAAATCAACACAGACATTAAGTATGGCCGAAAAGGCATTCGGAAAACATGGACATCAACAGTCGTCAATCCATATAGAGCAGAGACGTCAGACGATATCAGGAGAGTAATCAATCAGCTCGACACTAGAGTTTTCTTCAAAACATTGGACACACTAAAAAGGAACCTTGTCCATATAAAAGGCCAAATCCCGAAAGATTCTCTATCTAATTGTATTCATGAATAAAATGCTGGGAATATGATGCGATCTACAACGGAAAAACATCGCGAGAAATCAAAATCAGAATAAATGAACACCGTAGAGCATCTCTGCGACCACCAAGAAATCCAACTGAACTAGAAAAACTTCGAAATCATCAGCCATAGATCTACATGCTATAGAATCAGGCCACAAAGTTGATTTTGACAATATTGAAATAATCCAGAAAAACTTCAGAAATCACAAACAACGTCTTATATCAGAAGCACTTCATCAAGTAGAATCCAAATTGCCTGAATAGGAATGATGAACTAAAACAGAATCCGACCTGGCTACAACACCCCCCTCCCCCATGAAGTGGTAAAATCAACACAAATGTGATAAGCAAGTTCACTATGTAGACACACACTACCTTCATAATTCTACACACTGATAAAATCCAACAATCTACACTTACCAATTCGCCAACTTGCCAACAAAAAAACGACCCATACTGACGAATGATGATCAAGTTAGTGAACTTTATTTGATATAATAACAGATATACTATTATCTTTGATATTTGCTTTGAGAGATCTTCATTGTTATTTTGACTTTCAATATTTCCTTTTAAGTTGAACTAAGTCTATATTTTTCTCACCCCCTAACTCTTTGTTATATATATGCTGAGTGGATTTTGTAAATTCCGGTTTAATAATACTTTGAGAAAGCTATTAGCATTAAATAGCGAAACGTCAGTAAAAACAATCTCGTTCACTGTTTTTCATTCATTGGGAAATACAAGAAAAAAATTTTATTATTATGAACAGAATTTACAAAGTCTGCTCAGCTTATATTTAACAACTTAATCACATCATTCATCAGTATGGGGTTATTTTTGCGTTGTCGAACTGGCCAGCTGGTAAAGATAACAAAACCAAGTGTAGATTACTGTTGGATTTGATAAGTGTGTAAAATTATAACGAAAGCAGCATGTGTTTACATCATGAAATTGCTTATCACATTCGTGTTGATTTTGTCATTTCATGAGAGATGTGGGTGCTGTAAACAGGTCAAATCCTATTTTAGTTCATCATTCAATCCTATTCAGACAATTTGGATTCCATTTGATGATATGAAGTGCTTCTGATGGCATTAGATGTTCTTTGTGATTTCTGAAATGCTTTTTCTGGTTGATTTCAATATTTTCAAAATCATTTTTGTGGTCTGATTCTACAGCGTAGCGTGTAGACTAGCTATGGCGGATGATTTTCTAAACTTTTCTAGTTCACAACTGGATTTCTGAGTGGTTGAACAGATGCGGCTCTGCGGTGTTCATTTCTTCTTATTTTCACTTCCCTCTGGTGAGGTGTGTTCGATGCATATCGCATCACACTCCAAGCACTTTATTTTGTAGACACAGTTAGACAGAGAATTCTCGGGAATTTAGTCTTTTATATGGGCAAGGTTGCTTCGTAGTGCGTGTATCTGATGTTTTGAAGAAACCTCTAATGTCGAGCTTACTGACTACTCTTCTGATATCGTCTCGTGTCTCTGATCTGTATGGAACGAAAACTATTGAGGCCGATGTTTTCGAAGTATGTTGTTATGGGTTCACCAGTTTCCCTAATGGTTATAAATTACGTCGTAATCGACAGCACAAAGGAAAAAGACGTTAGAGGTTTGATAAGGTAAAAACTGTTACTGAGTGAGAAGTAAAGTAGTTGAGTGTCCAGTTTAAAAGGTGTGAAAAGGGTGAGAAAACGTAAAAACGGAACATGTGAGAGTGATAATTTTAAAATAATTACTTAAGTAAAAGTACACGAATCATTAAAAGTAAAAATAAAACATTACAGGTAACGGCTAATGAAGAGTTTAAGACCATGGTAAAATATAAGACTGGACAAACGTTTTCTGTATACAGAGTTCAGGGTTGTATTGATGAATTGCCAGCGCCTCCACCATACGCAAAAGCCGAAACCTGAAGCCTTTTGTACCATTTGGTCTCACCTTGTAGATAATCTTGAAAGACGACTGTGGTGGAGCTAAGGGGCTTGAGTTCACCAAGTGCTCGAGAATTGAGCCAGTAACTGTCTTGCATTGTCCTTTTACTAAACATGCCGGATAATGTTCAGAGATGCATAAGGAAAGTATCTGCTTTGCGTAGCTGACATAACTAGCTCCACAGGAGCATGTGAATTTATAAACACACACTGAAGTGGCCCAGGGTGGCAGTTTATTCTTCACACATCCATTGATAATTTGTCGGCGGTAAAATTTGATACGTGGCTCAGCCACAGTGAAGGCTTTTCTCAATGCTCTGGACAGGCAGTTCTTCAGAATCTTAGATATGGTATCACCTTCAGATTAAAGAGTTCACAAACAGCAGTTTCTACTGCGAGTCTTCAGACGTTTCATCACGGAAAATGGATGTCCTTCAAGATTAATAGATGAAAATATGAAAGTAAAGCAAAAACCCGAAAGGAGCAAGACAGTACCGAAGAAACAGCTGTGTGCGTCTACCAATTCTCCTACTTTTCTGGTGCCACAGGGGGAAGCACTATCTGCATAGTTCTTTCTGCTTCGGTCGCTTAGTACTATAATGCTCCTCAGTCAATGACGCCAGAGGACTGGGGTTAATTTCCCGCCCTCGGAGTTTGAAATGAACTGCAACTAGATGTCAAAACATTTATGCAATTTGTTACACTACTTTTTATTTGTCAGTAGTACAAATTGTGCCAGTAAAAATGCTGTGTCACCGCCAACACCAGTTTTTTCGTGAGTCGGTGACACAGCGGTTAGGACGCTCGCTGACCATGCACATGGTCCTAGGTCCAATCCCGGCTGATGCACTCCTTTACCTCAATAAGCTGCGAAAAATGCTGGTAAAGGGGAAAGGTTGGGCATGAGGGAAGCAACCCCATCCTGTAAAATAAACACTGCTGCAGAAACTTCAAGACACTAGCTTGAAGCCTTATGTTCCACTGGGGAACGTGAAGGAAAGATTATTTATTATAAATTATGCCGCATTTTTTCTAGAGGCCTTTAATAATTGTAAATAAGTAGGTTTATTTATGAAGCTTTCATTGCAACATCTTTATCGCATACATCAATTTGTTGAAGTGAGCTTTTAGATTTCTCCACGAATTTATTAGTCATCTCTCCTGGTGGGTGAATCTGAACGTAACTCTGGTTGTTCTTGTGTGTTTTCACACCATCTGGGCTACTTGTATTGGTATTGGTGTTGATTGTTTCCTTGACGTGAAGTGTGACCCTTTGTGGGTGTGAGACTTCCTTATTATCAATTAGTACATTTTGTCTATGTCAATGTGTCTATTGCTTGACGATTTACAAGAATACCAGGCTTCTAAGAATCCTCGGTCATTCTTGGGTTTTCTTCTGTCTGGTATGATTGTCACAAGAATTACGTCGATCCTTTTTAATGATGGGGGCTTCATTCCATCCAGTCAAAGACATGACAACACTCTCTACGCCATCTTTAAAAAGATCTGGAGTAGATTGTCCTGCCGGGTGCCTCAAGGCGCTTCAGTACTTGGAGTTCCTTTCGGACCTCCGCTTTGATTGGCCGGTTAGTACTGTCCAATCACGGAGCACAGTAGCTGATGACGTTAGGTGCTGGAGTTAGTCACCAGCTAAACTGATTCTCGAAGTGCTCTGTCCAGCGTTTCAAGCGTATTTCCAGGCTGGCAACTGGTGTGGTATATGCCTCACAGACCGTCTAGTTAACACTTTACTTCTCGCTACGGTGTCTTGGGCGAGCTGAAACAGTTTCCTACTTTTTCCAGATGCAGCTGCCGATTCCATCCCACACGCATGTTCTAACCACCAGGCTTCACGGTCCCTACGTAAATACTGTTTAGTGTTGCGCGTTAGCGCCTTTCGAAGGCTGTTGTACCTTCTGTCTGCAGGGATAGACCGGTGCTGATCCAGGAGTTGTAAATAATCAGCAGAAACCCTAGCGTTTTTAGAGAAGCATTCTGTTAAGCAGCAAGTGGCTTCACTCGATACTTGCATGGCACTTTGCAAATGTAGCCAATGTTCATCTGTACTACTTGGCGGGTCGCTAGCAAGCATTGATTGTAACTCACCGTGGTATTTCATAGAAGTAGCAGGTGCTACCAGTTTACTCAAATCAACTTGTATAAGACGTTGTTTATGAACCCCATCAAATCGCAAGACAGTCCTGGCACACACTAAAGCATGATGTGAATGGCGGTCTGCATGCATTCTTGCCGCCGGAAAATGACAACAGTATGATC